CCTAATATCGTCCCAGACTTTTGTGTTTCGCTCAATTTAGTCCTCCATTTGTTATTCCGTCAAATTGGTGTTAAATAAAGAGACAATTCAGTAATGACAATATTGATCTCTCTTTACTTTCAACTTGTGAAGTGCGAAATTCCTCTTTCTTGTACGAATTACACCCAGAATTACTCCCGGACCTGCAAATCAAATTTTATATTCGCAGTTTTAGGAGTAATTCTGGGAGTAATTCGTAAAAAAAAAAGAAGGATTTCGCAGTTCACATGTCTATGAGTAAAGAGATGCCAATATTAAAATTACTGAATTGTCTATTTATTTAACACCAAATGGACAGAATAACAAATGAAGGACTAAATTGAGCAAAAACACAAAAGTCTGGGACTAAATTGAGTGAAACACAAAAGTCTGGGACGATATTAGGTCACCAAAGTCGTTTAGGACGAAATTAAGAAAAACCACTATAGTCGAGGACGATTTTGGGTATTAACTCAATAATAATAATAATACTAATAATCCAAACAAAATGATATACACAATAAAATTTAAATTTAAAAAAAAAATAAGAAGAAGACAAAAGGGAGTCACGGGCTCCCTTTGTAAATGATGTGGGATCATTTTGATCTCACATTGAAAATGTTTGGAAAGAGGAGCAATGCTCCTCTTACAAACATAATTGCTTGCCCATCAATGTAGCCAAGTAACTTGGAGGGTGTGGTTGAGTGTGAGGGACTCATCCATCCTTAACCAAAGGTCAAGGGTTCGATCTTTGGATTTGGGAATCGAGGAGCCTTAAATCTCTAAGCCAGTTATCCCACCCAAAAGAGGTGCTTACAATTTAGCGAGGGGATTAGTCACGGTGTCTGACGGTGGAAACCCTGGGTTTACCAAAAAAAAAAAAAATCAATGTGGGCAAGTATTGAGAAGTCCAAAGTCTCTTCTTCTTTTTTTTTTTTTTTTTTTTTTTTTTTTTTTTTTGTGGTTAGAAGTAATGGAAAATTTAAAATAGAAAGGAAATATTTCAATAATAATATTTTAATCATCAAATAGTAAAGACATATTTTAAAAAATAGTAAAGATAAATTAAAAATGGAACGAAAATATTTCATTAATAATATTCTACATCATCAAATTAAAATGGAACGAAAGTTAGGTAAAAATATCACTGCATCTATATTCTAATTGACTAATTGATTGGAAATAAAAAAAAAAAGAATAATTGACTGAAAATGAATCTAATATTACTAATTGACTGAAAATATAAAAGGAAATGAATATTAATAATTGACTGCAAATAAAAAATGATCTATAATTGACTAAAAAAATTATCAGATCAATGCATTTTAATTAAAAATAGAATGAAAATTAAAAATTGGAGGAAAATATTCCAATAATAATATTCTACATTATCAATAGTAAATGCATATTTAAACAATAGTAAAGGTAAATTAAAAATGGAACGGAAATATTTTAATAATAATATCTACATCATCAATTAAAAATAGAACGAAAGTCAGGTAAAAATATCACTGCATTTGATATTCTAATTGACTGAAAATAAAAAAGAATAATTGGCTGAAAATGAATCTGATATTACGAATTGAATGAAAATATAAAAATGATAACTAATCGAGTGATATTCTACCATTATATATTTTCACCCAAGTAACCCGTCCTGATGGAGAAGATGTTAGCTCTAGACGAAGATGAACAAGATTGTGTTGTCAGTTGTCACTACCAATGTCGTCTACAAAGAGGTTTCAATAATGTGTAAATATAATCGGTGATATTAATTTTTTTAAATGAAAAAATTGCTATATATCTAGACAAAAAAATATATCTTCCATACAAATGAATAAGGATAGCAATTCATTTCTATAACTGAGTTGTTAGAGAACAACGAGCACATTTGCCTAATGTATGAAAATACTAAACAATGATAAATAAAATCTTCAAAATTATAGGACCGCATGCGCACATATAGACATTAGCTATTAATTTGAGCAATTATTTGCACAAATTCAAGCAATGATAACATCAAAATATATAAACGATTCAAATAACATCTTTAATTACACTATATAATATTTGATGTTCTAATTTAAATAATTATATATCGATTCATATATTCTTAATATATTACAACAAATTCATTCCGTGCATCGCACATTCGCACGGGTGCAAATACTAGTAATAATATATATATATATATATATATAAGTAAAATCCTCCTAGCCAAGTTTCCCCCCCCCCAAAATTTAGGGGCATTTTTGTAATATCATTCATTTAATAATCTATATATCTATATATCTATATATATCTATATATATCTATATAAAAGTAAAATCCTCCTAGTCAAGTTTTCTCCCAAAACTTAGGGGCATTTCTGTAATATCATTTAATAATAATAATAATAATAATAATAATAATAATAATAATAATAATAATAATAATAATAATAATAATAATAATGTTATTACCTTAATTACAAATTATTATACTTTCCTTTTGAATTAGTATTTTTCACCTATAAATACAAATTATACTTTCATTTGCACTCTATATTGTTCTCCGGTTCATGATTTCATTTGATTTATAAGTTTTATATGGTTGTTTCTGGATGCAGCCTGCAAAGCTAGGGGCTTAGATCTCATAGTTCATTTCAAGGTAATATTATGATTCCAATAGGTGTAATTAAACTATGTTCACATTTTCATCTTTATTTCGATTTGTTAGGGGTTTGTATATCAGGATATGTTGTTACAGTGTGTCCAAATGTATGTTTAATTACTGGTGTAAATGTATGTAAATTTGGGTATATGTTATTTGATTTTGACATTTTTTTTTAAATACCCTGAGATCAAAGTGTTACATTCTGCATGTTGGATTGGTTGTTTTCATCAATTTATTGTGATTTTTTTGTGTTGTGGTTACCTTATTAAAAAGCAGGACCTCTAGACTACTGTGAATGGGTTTCAACAAAAAAGAAATTGAGGAGGAAGAGGCTTGGTAACAGAATCCTAATGGTTTAGTTTTTATGGAAGAGCGTAGAGATGCGATCGAGGATGATAACGACGGTGATTTTGATAATTTTGTAAGATTTTATGAAACTTAGAGTTAGTATGTTGACTTCGAGATTTGTACATGTCATTCAAGTTTCTATGTTTTTTTTTTTTAACAAACAGCGTTAAGGGTTTACGTGGTTCGTTGGTTCAAAACAGCAATCAAGCAAAAGCTAAATTGAATTGAGGGGTGAAGACATTGTAGATAGAGGCCATTTCTCATCCTACTTTGCCTTTTTTCTAAAGAGAGTGGGAATGTGAGGGTGAGGAAAGAGAAAAAGGAAATGGAGAGATTTTTTTTTTTACCAGAAGTTTCTATGTTTTCCTTATACAAATTTATAATTGTAAATTTATATTAATAAATGATTATTGTAAATTTATATTAATACAATGTAATAGAGTCAATAGCATTAAAAAAATGGTTATTAAGACAAGTATAATTTATTTTATATTGTGGATACATTACTTTTAATAATTTTGATTTAATAATATTATACCTTAATTATAAAAATTCTACCTAATAATTTTAGTATTAAATGTCATACAATAATTACCATAAACAATGTTTAATAATTGACAAATTCTATTAGGCAATAAAAATTAATATTATAAAATCTTTTGTAATATGGACACATTATTTTTAATTATTTCGGTTTAATAATATTATATCTTATGTATAAAAATTCAAAATAATACTTTTAGTACTATTGAATATTGATTGACTAACAATTATCTTAATTATTAAGGCAATTAATAGGTATTTAGATTTAAAAAGTTTTCAAATATATGTATTATACATAGTAGCATGGAATCAATTAGTAAGACAATTATATTAGGTAATCTAATACTTAATGTATAATATTATTGGCATGAAATAAATTATACTTACCTTAATATGTAATTAATTTTTAATATAATTTTCTTATTTTTATTAAAGGTAATTATTTGATAATTTTTCTTTCATTCTTTTGTGTAATTATTATGGTAATGTATTTTTTTTTTTTTGAAAGTTACTGGCTCTATTACATTGTAGTATCTGTTCATATACTTTCTCAACCTACTGAAACACAAAGAACCAATAACGCCTCCACTGAGGCTCGAACTTATAATCTTCCAAATGGAAGTCCAACCCGGATACCATTGGACCACATAGTCCTGGTTTATGGTAATGTATTTAAATATTTGAGTATTTAATATAATTTCCTTATTTTTATTAAAGGTAATTATTCTGATAATTTTTCTTTCGTTCTTTTGTGTAATTATTATGGTAATGTATTTAAATATTGGAAGAGATTAGAAAAAAAATATTATAATTAATATAATTAATGAAATTATTATGGTAACTGCCACAATATTTGGTAATTATAACTAATATAATTAATGAAATTGAGAAATATAAGGGCTAAAAGAGTAATTTCCTTTGTCCTATCGCCATTCTGCAATTCTGCATGCCAACTCCACAGAAGATCATAACCTTCGAGAAGCTAGTTTAGCTTCATATTTTCTTCCAACCCACAGCGAAATTTAAGCTTCACTAATCCACCATGTCTTCCAGCTAACTAAACCGGGCCACCATCAAGAAGCTATCTTTAACTTCTCTGTCTGCAGTTCCAATCCCTCTCCCAATCCAATGCTTGGTCGTCTTCATCCTGCTCTACAAAGTCTTCGAGTGGGGGAGAAAAGTGTGAAGACTTAGCATTAGCCTCTTATTATATATCTCTAGTTATTATATTTCTCTGGTTGATATTTCTCATTTGCCTAGTCTTGTGGTTAGGTATAACCACACCTCAATTTATGGCTCTGTAACTCTATATAAAGCTTTGTACATACTGGGAATAAACTACAACTTTCATATTCTATTATGGTATCAAAGCCTACACTCTAGCGAGAAAAATACATGTTTTTCCCTCTCCCCTCTCCTCCTCCCTATCGCTAGTCATGGTTGCTACCAACACCCCTATCATAACTCACCTTCACGCCCCAACCCATTTACCAATTAAACTTACATCCTCGAACTTTCCCATTTGGAAGAAACAGGTCGAGTCTAATCTTATAGGTCTTGACCTCCTGGGCCACATCACAGGCTCTACTACAGCTCCGACAAAGTACTCTGATACAGCTCGCACTGAGATTAATCCCGCCTACACAGCTTGGTTCAGGCAGGATCAAATCATTCAAAGTGTCATTCTCGGCAGTCTTTCCGATGTCCTGCAACCGGTTATCTCGTCGGTTGCTTCTGCAAGTGATGCGTGGACACGTTTGTCAACTAGTTGTGCCGCTACGTCGAGGGGACGTGTGGTGTCGCTAAAAGCAAAACTTGCCAAAAATCCTAGGGCCAATCGGTCTATTGACTCGTACATGAGGGAAATGCGAGCCATTGCCGACGATTTGGCCCTTGCTCAAAGTCCGGTGAGCGAAGAAGACCTCGTGGTTCATATCACGCAACTTGGCGATGAATACAACCCCATTGTGGCGGTTCTTCGCTTGCGAACCGAGACTATCTCATTTAGTGAGTTGCACGATGTGCTCACTGATTTTGAGAGGTTGATGAAAGATAATGAAGCTGCCTCGCACATCCATATGCCGATTGCGAATGCCACACAACGGCGGTATAATGGTTCAGCTGACTTCTAATCTCAAGCTTACAATCGATGTGGCAGAGGGCGACACAACCAGGTGAAGAATAACGGCAACCGGTCTGCCAGGTACTGTAATTATTGTGAGTATCCAGGGCACGACACCAAATTCTTCCGGAAACTAGCCAAGTTTTTGAAGGAGAATGATGTGGCTGTGCTTGAGCCGCGCAACACCGCTCGACAGTCTCCATCGGTTCATGCTACACCAACTGTAGCTTTGCCTACTCAGTCCTGGCTCATGGACTCCGGAGCCTCGCATCACACGGTCAATGATGCCATGTCGCTTCACGCTCTGGCGGACTACACCGGACCAGACGAAATCATGCTGGGTGATGGTAAGTCACTATGTATCTCGCACACTGGGTCAGTTTCTATACCATCGAATAGTCGGTCTCTCATATTGTCTGATGTTTTGTGTGTTCCGAGTTTGCACAAAAATCTTGTTTCTGTTTCCAAACTCTGTAGAACTAACTCAGTTTCTGTTGAATTCTTTGACACATATTTTGTGGTTAAGGATCGGCAATAGGGAACTCCTCTCGTACAGGGTCCAGTCGTGAGTGACGTTTACAACCTCCCGGTCTAGCGGCCTCAACTTAATGTTACCACCAAGTGTTCCCTGTCAAGTTGCCATCATCAGTTTGGTAGCCTGTCTTCTTAGAAATAACAATATTAATTTCAGGCCTGATAAGCTTAATGCGTTTTCTTGTAACTCGTGCCATGTTAATAAAAGTCACAAACTCCCGTTTTCCTTTTAATTCCATGACTAGTTCACGCCCGTTGCAGTTACTTTACACGGATGTGTGGAGTTCCGCAACGGTCTCCGTGGATGGTTTTAAATATTATGTCAATTTTGTTGATCATCACACCAAATATGTCTGGTTGTTTCCTATTAAACTTAAGTCTGAGGTCCCCACTATATTTCTCCAATTCAAGCGCATGGTAGAGACTTATTTTGGCTATAATATTGTTTCGATATTTTCTGATAATAGGGGGTGCGGGGGGGGGGGGGGGGGGGGGGGAGTATATCAAGTTGATTCCTATCTTTAATTATGTGGGTATTTCACATTTCACTTCACCTCCGCATACTCCGGAGCACAATGGGCCGACTGAACGTCAACACAGGTACATTGTCGAGACTGGTATGGCGTTACTCCATTATGCGTCCATGCCAGCTTCGTACTTGCCCTATGCCTTTCAAATCGCTGTTTATTTAATAAACCGAATGCCTACTGCAATTCTCGGTTATTCTACACCATATGAGCGCTTATTCAATAAACGCCCAAACTACCAAAAAATTCGACCATTCGGGTGCCTGTGTTATCCTTGGTTAAAGCCTTACTTCCCAGCCAAATTAAATCCAAAGTCCATTCCATGTGCCCTTTTAGGGTATTCGTTGAGTCAGTCCGCCTATAAATGTTTAGAAATGTCCAGTGGGCGGGTTTATGTTTCGCGTCACGTACAGTTTGTGCCAAATGAATTTCCTTTCCAGACCATGGTTTGTAAGTCTGTGTCAACTAACCCAGGTGTGTGTTTGAACGTGGGTGAGCCTCTGCCTTTGCCTACTTACTTTACTACAAGTCATACTGGAATGCCACATCCTGGTGAACATCATCCACCTCCCTTGGCCTTGACGACGGACGTAGCTACAACGTCGACGCCGGTACAGCCACACCCACCAGCAGCCTTGGCGGTCACTACAATGAGGGTCCCCGGTAGCCCCTTCACTGTCTGGTCAGGGTTCGGGGGCCCGCACGCCGCACGCTGCTTCTGCTCCGTCGTCGCTGGTGTCTGCTGGTTCGCGTGGGGAGTCGCCGGTTGGCCTGACAGTTCCGAACTCACCGCTGGCCGTTGGACTTCAGGAACATCCGCCGTCTGAACGAGTATCTCAGTCGATGGAGTCGGTGGAGGCGGTGTGTCCAGTCCGATCGGCTAGTTCCACTCTGGTTCCCTCTACGCAAGCAGGTTCCTTTTCGGCTTCCTCCATGCAGGCAGAATCCACGCAGGTTGATGAGAAAGATGGTGCGGTCATGGCAGATCAAGCTACTGTAGTCCCTTCCTTGCGGCGGACGAACAGGCAACGTCGTCCGAATCTGAAGTTCTTTAACGACAAATTTGTGAATCTGACGACCTCGCATCCGGTTGCTCCGTCCGTTGAACCTCGCACTGTAGACCATGCGTTGAAGTGTGACTTATGGCGCGCTGCTATGACAAATGAGTTTAATGCACTGGTGAAGAACTCTACTTGGGAGTTAGTGCCCCGAGCCAATCGTAATGTGGTTGGCTATATGTGGGTGTTCAGGGTTAAGCGCAGAGCTGATGGTTCTGTAAACAGGTTCAAGGCTCGGCTGGTTGCCAAGGGCTTTTTATAGCAACCGGGACGAGACTACTTTGAGACCTTCAGCCCGGTAGTCAAACCGGTCACTGTGCGTGTTATTCTTAGCTGTTGGTCCCGATAGGGTGGTAAAAGTCTAGAGGGGGGGGGGGGTGAATAGACTTTTAAGCTTTTTTACAATTAAATAACTCTTTGGTAACTTCAACTCTAAGTAACAAGTAAATAGAGTAGAGTTTAACTTGAACTGCACAGCCGAATAAATAAGTGCAAAGAGTTATGCCCAATCAATAAATTGAATCACATGCACATGTTAGATATCTTCAGATGATGTGTAAGGATGATATGAATCTTTAATATTTAAAAGGAGATGGTGCACTCAATATTTAACAATGTTATTCAAGATTATAAATAAGACTTCGTGTCACGTCAATCGTACGATGAATGTCACATGCAACACGTCAAACTTGCTTAGAATAATTCAAATGTTAAGCATGGAAAGTTTGAGTTACATGCATACGTGAAAACATACTAAACCCAAAAGATAGAGATAGACAATGAATATTAAACGGGTTAGTCGGATGATAAATAAATAAAGCGAATTATGTAAGTGCGGTATGTAAATGAGAGAGGCAATTTATAGTGGTTCGGAAGTGGCGTAATCTTCCTAGTCCACTTTACTCCATTCACTTCTAAGAGTAATTCACTATTTTCCACACACAGTTACAATAGTGAATAAGCGCTACACAAGCACTTCTTCCGGATGTCTTGCACACAGCTACACCCAACTCCGAGTGTCTCGCACACAGCTACACTCAACTCCGAGTATTTCGCACACAGCTATACTCAAACGCCAACTAAGTGTTTTGCACACAGCTACACTTAGCAATTACGAGTGTTTTGCACACAGCTACACTCACTAGAGTATTTTGCACACAACTATACTCTTTTTACAATTACAAATATAGAGGTAATTGTATCTCTCTCCAACTAAATTTGAGACTATTCAGACTAAGTCTCTCTTCTAGATATCTCAATGAATATTTAGCACTTGCACTTGTTCACCCGTGTGTTCTCTTGTATTTTTTGTATTCACCTCTATTTGTTCTTCAAGTCTTTATGGCCTTTTTATAGATGATCAAATATATCTGTTGGAGTGGGATATTTTTGATATTTGAAGTTTGAATCTTGTAGCCTGATATTATTGACAATGGTAGGTCTTCAATTTGATTTGATTGTCAACTTGCCTGACAAGATAATATTTTATTTCAACTTGATTTTCAAGTTGTTTCTAAAATATTATTTTCTTTGTCTATTTTGAAGTTCCAACGTCTTTTAGCAATAAGTTCTTCTGATAGAATTTATTTCTAGGATAAGATTTATCCATGTCTTCATAAATTTTCTACCGTTCTGATCATATCTTTAGGCAATTTGGATTCTTGTGACATGTGAGATGTACCAATCATAAATTCTTTCGAATTTATCATTTTTATGATCATATTGCTTCTTTGTCACATCTTGCTCTTTTGAGACGCATTGTGCTTTAAAAGTTTGATCTTGCTTGTTTGACTTTGCACTTCTTGCTTTTTGACTTGCTACATCGTGTTTTTCTGATTTGGCCATATTGTGCTTCTTTTTGCATCTTGCTTCTTTGACTTCAACACATTGTGCTTGTTTGACTTGAGACATTGTGCTTCTTCTTGAAACATTGTGCTTCTTTCTGAAATTCGGCTTATAAAAAATAAGTCCATGGGGGATAATCAATCTTGGGTATGATCGTTATATGTAAAGACTTCTACCATTTCGCCATTAAGCTCATCCAATCATTTTTTGTAACGCCATTGTTTAGTACTTGTGTTCCAGATGAATACTTGTAGGACCAAAATTAATTCTCCAAATTAATTTTGTTCTTCATGTGGTAGACTTTCCTTTGCATACTCACTTTGATATTCTGATATATGATGCTTGTACTAAAGACCTAAATTCTAAGGGGGTCTAAAGTACATTTGGCTCATCAAAACTTTATTATAAAAATATTCCTATCAATTTTCCTCATTTTTGATGACGCCAAAACCTATACTCAGTCATTTGGCTTGTCTTTTAAAATAAATTTTTCAAAAGATTTTATTAAACTTGACATAGACATGATGAGTTTAACAGTTTGATTTTGACTCTAGGAAAGGTATTTTTAGCAACAAAATTCCTATTCGCATTTTTGGATTTTTGAAGTTAATGAATTTTGTAATTTTTCCAATTATGCGATTTTTACAAACTAGGCTAAAATGTTACCTTTCAAGACAAATTAAAATAACAATAATTAAAATACCGTAAGCATCATAATCAGATAGTTAAATCAAAGTATTATAGCAAATAGTTCCATGATCATACTTAGGAGTTTGTAGATCAACCAAAACATTCTAACATCAATTATAAATTACTTGATTATCTTGTTCCTCCTTTCTTCTAACACATGATTGATATGCTTCTTGATTTCAACAAAATTATCACTAATTGCATAATCTTTGCATACCTGCCCAATCACATAGTAGTTGAAGGCTTCAATCACATTGCATTTTAATTAAAAATAGAATGAAAATTAAAAATTGGAGGAAAATATTTCAATAATAATATTCTTCATTATCAATAGTAAATGCATATTTTAAACAATAGTAAAGGTAAATTGAAAATAGAACGGAAATATTTCAATAATAATATCTACATCATCAATTAAAAATGGAACGAAAATTAGGTGAAAATATCACTGCATTTGATATTCTAATTGACTGAAAATAAAAAAGAATAATTGGCTGAAAATGAATATGATATCACTAATTGACTGAAAATATAAAAGGTAACTAATTGAGTAATATTCTACCATTATATATTTTAACTCAAGTAACCCGTCCTGATAGATTGAAGGTGTTAGCTCTAGACGAATATGAACAAGATTGTGTTGTCAATACCAATGTCGTCTACAAAGAGGTTTCAATAATGTGTAAATATAATCGGTGATATTAAGTTTTTTTTAAATGAAAAAATTGCTATATTTCTAGACAAAAAATATATCTTCCATACAAATGAATAAGGATACTAATTCATTTCTATAATTGAGTTGTTAGAGAACGAGCACATTTGCCTAATTTATGAAAATACTAAATAATGATAAATAAAATCTTCAAAGTTATAGCACCGTATGCGTACATCTAGACATTAGCTATTAATTTGAGCAATGATTTGCACAAATTCAAGCAATAATAACATCAAAATATATAAACGGTCCAAACCATATCTTTAATTGCACTATATAATATTTGATGTTCTAATTTAAATAATTATATATCAATTCATATATTCTTAATATATTACAACAAATTCATTCGTGCATCGCACTGGTGCAAATCTATATCTATATATATATATAAACAAAATCCTCCAATTTCATTTTCCCGCTCAAACTTTTGTAGTAAAACTTACTTGGTAAGCAAATGTAAAATGGAAATTAATTAAAATTTATTAATTGGAAATATTACATAATTACACTTTTCCTTTTTGAAAAATTATACAAGTTTATAATTCTCATATTTTCTACCTATAAATACAATGGATTGGTGAGTTTGGAAATCATAATTTTTCATTTTACACTGTTTCCCTCTTCTTCCTGTTCTCTCTGTGGAATCATATCTTGGTGTTGCACTCATGAAAACGTAAGTTTTTATTTTTTATTTTTATTTTATTTTTATTTTTTTTTACAGTTTTTAAGATGATGATGATGATGATGATGATGATGATTATTGTTATTGTTATTGTTATTGTTATTGTTATTGTTATTGTTGTTGTTGTTGTTGTTATTATTATTATTATTATTATTATTATTATTATTATTATTATTATTATTATTATTATTTTGCAATTGTAGCTTGAAGTGTTTTTAGTTCCGATGGATCCAACGGATTGGGCGTTGATGGAGACCCTGGTAACATTGACTACAAAGATGATTTCTTAATTTTCCGGCAGCAAGGAAGGGCCGGCGTTTTCCTTATCAGAAATCAAACTCTTCTTCTCCTCACATGCAACGAAGCGCTTTGCCGAACCGGAAAGTGATTCTTTTTTTTTTCTCTCTCTTTATTCCTCTGAGATAATTACAAGATGTATACGAAAAATGAAACAGAACCCTGGTTTCAACACCAAAAACACAGAAGTTAAGGATAGAGATCGATGACTAATTCACGTATCTGAACTAACAAATAATGTATAATATTATTAGCAAGGTTGAAAAAATCGCTAGGCGCCCTCTAGGCGCCTGGGGACCGCCTAAGGCACCTTGAGCGATTAATCGGCGCCTAGAGCGCCTAGGCGGGTGCTTAGGGCGCCTAGGTGACCGACCGCCTAGCGCCTAGGTGCCGATTAATCAACGCCTAGGCTAGATTTTTGCAACACTGATTATTAGTACAAAATAATGTATAATATTATTAGTACAAAATGTACAAATATTATAATTAATATAATATACACTTAATGTGTGTGTGTGTGTATACACTTAACGTATAATATTATTAGTACAAACTAAATTATACTTGCCTTAATAATTAATTATTAATATTATTGCCTAATAATTATGTATTGTTACCTTTTTCGATGTAATTATTATGGTAATCTATATACATACATACATACATACATACATACATACATACATACATACATACATACATACATACATACATACATACATACATACATACATACATACATACATACATATATATATATATATATATATATATATATATATATATATATATATATATATATATATATATAATATTATTGGCACAAAATAAATTATTATTACCTTAATATATAATTAATTTTTAATATAATTTCCTAATTTTTATTAATGGTAATTATTCTAATAATTTTTCTTTTTTTTTTTTTTTTTTAGTGTAATTACTATGGTAATGTATTTAAATATTGAAAGAGAACAAGTATTATAATTAATATAATTAATGACATTGAGAAATATAAGATTTCTCCCGTGGAAATATTTGTGGCAATTTCATTAAATTATAATTAATAAAATATGAAATATAATTAAGGAAATTAAATTATAAAATTAACAAAATATAAACAAAATTTATAAATTTTTTTACATACATACATACATACATACATACACTTATGCACTATACTAATCATACAAAATTTAAATGCAATTTTTTTTTTTAATTTCTAAATGTAATTTTTAAAGTATAAATCTATCAATATAAATCTATACTATTACTAAAAACAAAATCATCCTTTCTTACTTTCCCGCCCAAACAATAAAAAAGCGAAAAAAATTATATTACCAATTAATAATACTAATAATAATTAGTAGAAACGTTAGTAGTAAAATAGAAAGAAAAAAAAAGATCCTTAATTCACGAAAAGTAGAAAAGGAAACGGAATTCACTGATTAATTAATACTAACAATAATCAGTAAAAAAAAGTTTGTAGTAAAATAGAAAAATAAAAAAGACCATTAATTCACTAAAAACTGAAAATATAAACGAAATTTACTGATTATTACTACTAATAATAATAATTAGTAAAATAGGAAAATAAAAAAGGAGTCTTAAGTCAATGAAAATGAAAAAAAAATAGAAGATTGTGAAAAAAAGTCATAATAAGGATAAAGTAAAATATAAAAAAATCCTACCAAAAATTAGAAAAAAAAAAGATTCTTAATTCATGAAAAATAGAAAATAAAACGGAATTCACTGATTAATTGATAGTAATAATAATTGGTAAAAAGGTTAACAATAAAATAGGAAAATAAAAAAGGATTCTTAGTTCACTAAAAATCTATATTCTATACTATTATTAAAAACAAAATCATCATTTCTTACTTTCCCGCCAAAACAATAAAAGGGGAAAAAAATTTACCAATTAATAATATTAATAATAATTAGTAAAAAAGTTCGTAGTAAAATAGAAAAAAAATTCTTAATTCACAAAAAAATTGAAAATGAAACGGAATTCACTGATTAATTAATACTAACAATAACCAGTAAAAAAAATTTGTAGTAAAATAGAAAAATAAAGAAGATCCTTAATTCACTAAAAATGGAAATATAAACAGAATTTACTAATTATTTCTAATAATAATTAGTAAAATAGGAAAATAAGAAATGGAGTCTTAATTCAATGAAAATTAAAAAAAAAAATGAAAGTTGTGGAAAAAAATGGGTCATAATAAGGATAACAGTAAAAAAAATCCTACCAAAAATTAGAAAAATAAAAAAAATTCTTAATCACGAGAAATAGAAAAAAGAAACAGAATTCACTGATTAATTAATACTAATAATAATCAGTAAAAAAGGCTAATTGACTAATATTATCTACAATCTACAATTCTAATAAGAGCCAATAATGTTAGTATTTTAACTGGAACAAAAAAAAATGTTGGTAGTATTGTTTCTTAAAATAAATGGTTAATATTATTTTGATTTTAGTATTTTTTTTAATGATTTTCATTATTTACCCTCTATTATATTATTTTCTTCCATTAAATAACATGTATTCCGTTAGAATAAACTTTAGTAATGAAATATTCCATTAACTATTTATTATTCTTAACTTACTCATTAATTTTTATAAGAAATGTCTTAGGTTCGAACTTTATCCCAATCAGAGTTGGCATAATTGTTCAATATTTATTTACCTATGCATGAACATTTCCGATATAATATTACATATAATATTGCATTGATATACTTTGAAATACTTATTTAAAAATAATCATTGGGCATTATTCCATTCGCGCAAATCGCGTAAAATAACTAGTACCATTATATAGTTTTACCCGAGTCACCCATCCTGATGGACCGAAGGTATTAGCTATAGACGATGATGGACAAGATTGTGTTGCTACTATCGTTCCAAACAAATGAATTAAGATAGCAATTTATTCTTATAACGACCACATTTGCTTAATTTATAAAAAAAATACTAAACAATGATGACATCAAAACACGCAAATGATCTAAACCACTTTTTCAATTGCACTATATAATATTTGATTTTCTAATTTAAATAATTATATATCAATTCAAATATTTTTAATATACTCCGTATTACAATAAATCCATTCATGCAAAATTAGAATCAGTTTCCAGTTCCCACTTCCTTTTAATACTTCCGCACATTCCCTTTATCCCCTTCCTCCTTCACAGAATCACAGACCACATTTCATAGGCTCACAGCTTCACACTTCATCTCTTCCCTTCTTCAACCTTCACTCCCACAGTCCGACGGCGTCACCTGCAGAACCGCCTCGCGCGATCGCAATCCGTCCAGTTTCTTCCTCACCAGACGGCAGACGCTCTACTCTTTCGCACTTTCGTCTCTGTCCTCGACTCCTCTCAACCTTACGCAGACGCCAGACCGCAGGACCACAGCTCCTGCCCCAGCGTCGTCCAGCCATTCTCCTCCGTGGCTCCGTCCGTTCACCATTCGTCCACCGGACCACCATTATAGATTTATAGCCTCGGACTTCAGGTTCAAACCTCAACCAATCTTCATTATTATTCACTTTATTCTCTTATTATGGCTAATCTTTATGATGATTCATTTTTCATATTTGATAAATCTCTAATTGGCTAATTTCCTAAATTTTCAATCTTTAACCTTTTTTTACATCTTTGTTTCTGAAAATTTTCTGTTTTGCAATTAATCCCAATGAGACTGAATTAGTGATTACATGTATGCTTAATGCTTTTGCAGATTTATATATGCTAATAGCCTACTTCAATACATATTCGGAATATTTTCAAACTGGGAATTGAAGCTGCTAGTCTCAAGTATTGAAGATCCAAAGGTAAGGGGAATTGCTTGTTCATGAATTTGATTTTTTTTTTTATATATTATTTTTTTATATATATTATTCTCAATAGTTTTGCCTATGCCTAGTTCATATTGATTTGCAACTTCCAAGGCTAACTGCCTAACTGGCTAAGTATAATTCTGAAAATGAGATGCTTACAGTTTGTATCCTTGAAATCAAAGATTTTAAAAATGCATTGTATCCTTGAATGCTCAGAACTTGAAAAATTCTTTATTAAATGATTGCTTAGTGCCGTATGTTGAGAAAGATATGTTTTATCAAGTTTCAAATGAAGCAAAATGAAGCAATTCTACACTGGTTTCAAAACATGAGAGAGCCTAGAGGAGTATTATCCCGTAGTTCATCATAAACCTTGTATTGTAATTTATAATGTATTTTGTATTTTAACAATCTTATTCATATTTGATATTTTGAATTCATTTTACCTTTTGCTTCTTGCTCCCACCCAAAGAAAATCCTGGCTCCGTCCCGGGATATGTTATTATTCATACCATCGTAATTCTTACATTTGTTTTTAACAAATTACAAAAAAAAAAAAAAAAAAAAAAAAAATGGCGGCCCCGCCTAAACCCGTGGGCCTAAGGAGGGGTGGGACGGGCTCGCCCCGCCAGCCCGTTTCGACAGCTCTAGTAAACATTATATTGGAAAATGATATTTATTTATTACTTGTGAATCAATGTTTAAGTAATAAGTAGCTTTGGAAAATCTGCTTCAAATATATTGAATTATTGACAGTTGAGTAACCCTGATCTTAAATATAAAAAGATGGGCCTAATTGAGATAGTTAAGATAGTTTATTACTTTGGAGCTGAAGTGATTAACTCCTCCCCGTCTTCTTCTCAGGTAATTTGTTTGATATTCATACACAATGAATGATATTGCAGTTTTACTTTTCTCCCCACCTAATTGCAGCTTTAGTTTCAACCACTTTTTGGCTTTGAAAGAGACTTCTAGGGTCCTTCATGCTTTCCTTGTGTATTGTTGTTATGTTATGATAGTAAAAACTATTAGGTGAATAAGTTTTTTTAGGTAAGACATAAGTTTGTTTTTATATATAAGATTGGTAAAATTAATTATAATTGGTGTATAAATGAATAGACAAATTATATTAAATATACAATTTCATTAAGATGATGAAGATTTCCGTCGACCAATTGTGAATAGATCTCTTGGATTTTCTGTAATTGTTTTGGATTGTTTGAAGAAGGCTTGGGCAAAAATCAAAATTATAAAATTAAAAAATTAAAAAAAAAAAACTTTTCTTTCTTGTGCTGATAATCTCTGCAAGCCTTCTCGAATCTGTACAAAGGTAAGATTTTGGTTCACGTATGCAGCTTCCAGATTGTTTGATCTAATGCCTAGCTGAGTGTTTGATTGAAATTTTGTAATAAATTTTATTTTGTGCCAAGTTTATGTTTTTATGAATTCTTGGCGTCTAACTGTAGCTGGGTAGGCTGTTTGCGCTTGTGTTTTTTGGTTGATTTCATGCTTTTGCTCTGTTTCCATTTCATTCTTATTATTGTTATCTTTCTACGATATGAATCCTTTAACTAGTATGCGATAGCCTAAAAAAAGCTCTGTGATTTCTCTCAGATGATTGATACCCATGGTCTTTTCTCTGTGCCACAGATAAATAGGAATGGCGACTAGCATTGCTTCGGGAAGTGGCCAACTGCATTTCAGTGAGGCTCCATACAAGGGTCACAGCTGTAAACAAGTTTACCGTTTTTCTAGTGTAACCATCCAGAGCAACATACAAAAAGAACCACCTTGGTATGTTAGGAGGAACATGAATCTAGATCAATTATTTACTTTGTGTTTAGTATTTGATTAGTAGTTTATGAACAAGTATCTGATATACTTGCCCACAATCTACCACCCGGGAACCAATTGAGCTGCCTGTGCAGGTGAAGCTTTGATACTTGCCCACAATCTACTACCCGGGAGCCAACTGAGCTGGCTATGTGGGCGAAGCTTTGATATACTGTTCCTTGAGAACGCCAGTTTGTTCCATATATGTATGACCTTGTAATATATGCTGTTATAATTGTCCTGGCAACACAACTCCATTATTAGATTTTGTTCATATGGGAATACTGCTAACAAAGTTTCTTGCATTTGGATGAATTGATGCACAATAGCTTTCAAACTTCTGGTGTGTCTAATTTGTGCTTTGTCTTTTTGAATTTGTTCCAGGTCGTCTCGTGGTGTATCCAAATTATTAAGGCTTCAGAGACATAATGGTTCGTATTCTCAAGCTTATGTAAACCGGAAGTCCCACAGAACAGCAATTGTATCATGCCTTAGGAATGGTTCTACCAACTATTTTGACTTTGCTGTTATTGGTAGTGGAGTTGCTGGGCTTCGTTATGCTCTTGAGGTTGCAAAACATGGAACCGTTGCAGTGATAACGAAAGCTGAGCCCCATGAGAGTAACACTAACTATGCACAGGGTGGTGTAAGTGCTGTACTATGCCCTAAAGATTCAGTGGAGAGCCATATGCAAGATACAATTGTGGCCGGTGCTTACCTCTGTGATGAGGAGACAGTCAGAGTACGTTTTCTGAAAAATTGATTGTGTTTGATGCTTGTACTCTTTTGCTAAAGAAACTATACTAGTTCATAGCTAACTCGTGGGTGGCTTTTTCTCCAGGTTGTATGTACTGAAGGACCTGAAAGAATTAGAGAATTGATAGCCATGGGTGCTTCGTTTGATCACGGGGAGGATGGAAATTTGCACCTGGCAAGGGAAGGAGGGCACTCTCATCGCAGAATTGTGCATGCAGCAGATATGACAGGCCGGGAAATTGAGCGGGCATTGTTGGAGGCAGTCAAAAAGGATCCTAACATATATGTCTTTGAGCACCATTTTGCAATAGATTTGCTTACATCTAAGGTTTGCTTCTCATGCTGTTCTTGTGTTATTTTTGTACTTGAAGCTATATTTGGGTTCCCATGATGACTACTTGCATCCAACGAAGCAATATTGTGGTAGTATGATGGTGTAATTTAAGTACAAATTAATGGGTTTCCTAACTTTAAGCATGGAGTGCATTAAATTTATGTCAAAGTGAATTCTGGGTGCAGGATGGTTCTGACACTATTTGCCATGGAGTTGACACCTTGAACACTGAAACCTTAGAGGTAAGATATGAGATTTGTTCATATTACTTGGACATTTTTTAAATTCATGTATTACACAAGACATTGAACTGATTGCTTTGTCCTGTACCTTCCCGTTTGAACTATAGGTAGTAAGATTCATTTCAAAGGTAACTCTGGTTGCATCAGGCGGAGCTGGGCATATATATCCATCAACCACTAATCCTCCGGTAGGGGTTCACTTGCTTCTCTTGTGTAATTGAAGTGGCCATGTTCTGAACATTTACAAGCTGTATTAGCACTGTGCATTGTTCTAATACTGTTGTGGATGTGAAGGTTGCCACTGGAGATGGAATTGCTATGGCTCATCGAGCTCAGACTGTTATTTCTAACATGGAGTGAGTAACATTTAATTCAAGTTCCAAGAGGGGATTGCAGGTTCAGGAACTAATTTCATTCTGTATAATTCAGGTTTGTGCAGTTTCACCCAACTGCCTTAGCTGATGAAGGCCTCCCCATCAGACCAACCATTGCCCGCGAAAATGCGTTTCTGATTACTGAAGCTGTGAGGGGTGACGGAGGCATTCTTTATAACTTGGACATGCAGAGGTTCATGCCCTTGTATGATGAAAGAGCAGAACTCGCGCCAAGGGATGTGGTTGCAAGAAGCATAGACGACCAACTCAAAAAGCGCAACGAGAAGTACGTTCTTCTAGACATAAGTCACAGAGGCAAAGAAAAAATTCTCTCGCATTTCCCAAACATAGCTGCCGAGTGTCTCCGGTATGGGCTGGACATCACCCGGCAACCAATCCCAGTGGTGCCCGCGGCTCATTACATGTGCGGGGGAGTTCGCGCCGGTCTGCAAGGGGAGACCAACGTGCAAGGCCTTTATGTAGCAGGTGAGGTCGCCTGCACAGGTTTGCACGGTGCAAACCGCCTCGCCAGCAACTCATTACTAGAGGCTCTGGTGTTTGCAAGAAGAGCCGTCCAGCCTTCAATCGACCACATGACAGGCTCCAGAATCGATCGTGGCGCTTCGGGCTGGTGGCCACGACCAGTCGTCCCGACATCACTAGGCGATGTAACGCTGCGCAAAATCATCCTGAGGACAAAGGAAGTGAGGAAACAGCTGCAGTCTATGATGTGGGAACACGTTGGAATCGTGAGGTCAACAACGAGGCTAGAAACCGCAGAGAAGAGGATTGGAGAGCTGGAAATTGAGTGGGAAAGCTACTTGTTTCAGCAGGGTTGGGAAGCAACCATGGTGGGACTAGAAACCTGTGAAATGAGGAACCTCTTCTGCTGTGCCAAACTTGTGGTGAGTAGTGCTCTGTCAAGACACGAGAGCCGTGGGCTTCACTACACCATTGATTTCCCCCATGTTGAAGAGAGCTTGAGGCTGCCAACCGTTATTCATCCTTCTTCACCATTGAACAACACTTGGAGTTCGCGGCAACTGCACAAACCATGAAAAATTGATTTTTTTTTTTAAATAACTTCCGACATCCCTCCGCCTCCCAAATCCGGTGATTCTCCGGTTATAGTAGGGAAAAAAAAATATCAATACTCCAAAATCAATTGTAATTAGAATAAATTAATTGAAACCAAAGCATATACAAAAACTTGATGTATATCAAAACTCTATATTGTTTTAGGCAAAACAATCAATCACGCAGAAATTGATAAAGGCTCTGCTATTTTTTGAGTATTATTGACTGTGTTACAATGTAGTATATATTCATACATACTTTCTCAACCTACTAAACACAAGAGTCAATGTCTTTATTGGGGTCTGAACCTATGACCTCTCATTTGGTGGTATATACAAGGTTTTTGTTACACCTTAGATCATATATTCAAATATTTCAGTTTCTATTTTTATTACACTTTAAATTAAGAGTTAATCAACGATTTGGTCCCTTTCAGTTTCTACTTTTATTACACTTTAAATTAGGAGTTAATCAACGATTTGGTCCCTCAATTATTAGCGACAATTGGTCCCCAAAAACAATTATATTTAGTCGATTTCCCTCTGGCCGTCGACGGAAGACGGTTTGAGGGACTAAATCGACTAAAAATAATTGTTTTCGGGGACCAAATCGATGAATAAGCAATTGAAGAATTACATTGACAGTTCGCTAATAATTGATGGACCAAATCGTTCATTAACTCTTAAATTAATGCAAGTGGTAGAAATTTTAGTATGATGAGCTTCTTTTTTTTTTTTGATAATTTATGTACTGGTACTTATTTATTAGCTAGAGCCATAAAGCTTTTATCATATCTTTGATCACTAACTTACCTTTATTTTCTACTGTCTCTCTATTAAAGAAGGATGGTTTGCAGAGAGTATGAGATTTTCTTTCGGAGGGTAATTGCCCCTCTCTGCTCACCTGATGATTTCTCCTTTCTCATATCCATAACCCAAACAGCCCTTTAAGCAGAGTAACAACATGGACCAAAAATCAAACACACCTTCTCTTCTGATTACACTTTTCAATGTTCTTCACTAACAAGGTAGTTATAATTTTTTTTTTAATTTTTTATTTTTTATACAGATTATTACACTTTAAATTCATGGGTTTTTTATTGACATGCAGGTAGTAAGAATTTCAGTATGATGAGCAAGGTTAGTTCTGCTCATTAGATGATTATAAATATTACTAATTTTATAAAAAGTATAATTTCTTATCCTATTTGTGCAGACTAACAGTTCTACACGTCAAGTATTAGGCAAATGATGAAACTAATTTCTGATGCCATATTTTTTAAAAAAATGAAAATGTCTCTCAAAAAAATCATATAAATTGGCAATTGTGCAATTAGATTTACATGCTTTTACTTTACGAAATAAAAATAGTTACAATGAAAGCTGCTACTGAAACCTTTTGTGCCTAGATAATTAAAATATGGTCAAACTGATATTATTACATATCCATTATAAACTAATGACTATTTTGATGCATTATTTCTAAATCTTATTTCATATATGAAAGTATTATATATGTGATAGCTGTATATTCAAAAATAGATTTTTCTTATATATGTCATGTTATATTAATATATATATATATATATATATATATATATATATATATATATATATATATATATGTTAGAATACACACACAATTTGAACACATGTGATGACCTAACCTCATAGCGGAAGCATAATGATCAAGCAAAACTCCAGCCATTGTTGATACTTTGTTGCATTGTATTGTTGCTTCAAGAACTCCAATGATCAAAGTTTTGTTGTCTACCATTAATCTCCTGTATGAACTAGATGGTGTAGTTGTAAGGTTGCAATAGGAGCAATGAGAGGACCATGCTTAAATAGCCTACATGCCATCATTATAGGCTAAGTAACGGAAACCGTTACTTCCGTTTCAAACCAAAACATAATGGCCATAATTGACCTATTAAACTTGCACCACTTAATAGTGTAATTATAATGAAAATGTTACATTCTCCCACTTGGTACAAGTATTAACTCAAAGAAACAAAAAACATGAACCATAGAGATGGTTCCTCTTAATCAGAGTAGTATCTACTTATGATTACAATGTAATTTATTCTCTAAGTACCTTATGTGGTATAAAACTTAATGAATAAACCTTATGTTCATTCTTGATTATAATTAGTTATCAAAACTAATTATTGCCGCAATGGCTAAATTTGGCCTAATAAACTTACACCACTTGATTTGTACAACATTAATGGAAAATGTTACAATTTCCCATTTGGTGCAAGTATTGGCACAACCTTCATTGAAGATCAAAAGCATGAATTATAGTGGTATGTCCTCTAAATTAAAAAGTGAGTAATACCATCTATGCATCACATGCATTTTGATTCCCAACTCAGGTCCTTTACGAATAAAACCCTACGTTTACTCTTGGTCAAACCTTATGGATGTTTCTCAAATAAATATGCGCATAACCATAGGAGAAACCGTCCAAATTACATAGAGGTGACAACATAAATGTACGTACAATATAGTCACATAATAAGTTCCATGTACCCTGTATGATCCCTAAAATTCTTATAAGCATGCCTTAAGTAGGGATATGAAATTATTAGCAAAAATGCTAATATATCGCACGACTAACTCATTATCTTTAATATTATCACTGATAGCTAAGTTTTCAGAGTTGACACGTCTGTCACTCCTACTCTCATTAATCTTAGCCAAAGATAATAATTGAGTAGTCCATATTCCAACGACTTAGATAACAAATTCATGAGTCTAAGCCCACAAACGGAACTTTAAACATACACCTTATAAATGATCTCCAAAAAAGAAGGAAGCTCAACTTTCATGTCATAGAGCAGTACGAGGATTTATTAATGTAACTTTATGAAACAACAAAAAATATTGTATCATCATAAAAACAAAAAATCCTCAAGATTCATATATATGAATCAACATCATGAGTCTTTACATGCTTTATGTCTCTCAACATTGAATCTTGAACCTTTTAAATCTTAATGGCCCAGGATCAATTTGATGAGACGAAAAACTCCAATAAATGCTAAAGAATCTAACTTGTGATAGTTCACCATAAACTTAATGTCATTGTTATAATAAAACTATTAATGTTTGTTACAACATTTTCAGAAATATGTTGCACAACTTGTAGTTCAACAAATTGAACTATTGATTTTATAATAACAAGGCAAGGTGTCTTATCCTTGAAGTAGAGCAATCTTGAAGTGAGACATCTGTAATGATCTTTCCAAATGATCACTCCCACTGATCAAATGGGGCATCTTATTGATCTTTTAAATGATCACTCCCACTGATCAAACCATTACTCCCACTAATAAAGTTATTCTTGAGCATAAATGATATACACACTAATGATCCTCAAGTCCAACTAATTTAAAAAGGATTATAATTCCCCACCATAGTTGGACATGTTAAATATGTACATGTAACAGACACAATTTCCAACTACTTAAACAAATTAAATTGCTTTAGTTGAAATTTGGCTAGATATGTACAATTCCAATATAAGGATCCAAAAGGTATATCACGTCTAAATTCAAAATCTCTACTGTGGTTGGGCTGAAAAACCAAGTAAGCCACATACAGTAACAATTTCAAGTTACTAAAGTTTTGGAGGTTAACAAAATACATGTGTTGCCAATGCAACCCATGTCACACAATATAGAATTATAACTGGCCTTAAAGTTATAAATTCTAAAATTGGTATGATAAAATTTTATCTTGATCATCAATTTAAACAGGAGAATCCAGTGACATAAAACTTGCCTGTAGGCTAAAGATTTTTCAATTAGACTCAACTGAGACTTTATGATAATCAAATAGAAGAATCTAGTGACACAAAACTTGCCTGTGGGCTAAAGTTTTGTTCAATTAGACTCAACTAAAACTTTATGATAAAATTATTATCAAAGGGGATAGAAGAATCTAGTGACATAAAACTTGCCTGTGGGCTAAAGTTTTATTCAATTAGATCCATCTACAACTGAGTATGGTGCACAGCGGAATTAAATAAAGATAAAGTGTGTGTGAGATTGTGTGAGCAATATCTCGTGTAGAGCAAGTAAAAAGCAGTAAGTAAAGAAAGCAGTAAAGAACACAAGACAATTATAGTGGTTCGGAGGTGGTGTAATCCTCCTACTCCACTTGCTCTTATCTCCAAGAGCAATTCACTATATACCACTTCTTGGTTCGAAGATACAATGAATTTCCGTGATCTAGTGCTTTGATCACCAAGCCCGCACTAATCACGCCCAGTGACACCACACTCCTGCTTCGGGTTTCACGTCGCCGCGCTACTATCCCAGGATTTCACGACTCCGCGTTACTTTCCCCCCGTCTTCCACACTCTGGTAGAAACGTATCCCGTGATCTAGTGCTTTGATCACAAAGCCCGCACTAATCACGCCCAGTGCCTCCGACATTGCTGCTTCGAATCTCACAGCTCCGGGTGACAATCCAGGATTTCACAGCTCCGTGCTACTTTCCTCCCTGCTCTTGTTTTGCTCCAAAACAAGTGTTGTCTTGCTTCCAACTTTGAGACTCTGTAGTTGATCTTCAATGATGCGCAGGTCTCTTTGATGAAGATGTAACACTCTTTGAAAGATTTCTCTTGAACGCTCTGAGTGTTTTCTCTATTTGAATATATCAAGTAAAGCACTTGATTTTTATGCTTTGTTTAGCTCTGTTCAAGAACTCTTAGAATATTTTCTTTGAAGCTCTCTGAGTTCTTTTTCTTTTCTCACTTCTCAATTGAAGATTTTTGGTATGCTCTGTACCAAATGAGATTTTTGCTCTTTGCTCTTGTTTAGCTCTTTGCTCGTATTTTCTGCTCTTGAGTTCGTATATCTTGCTCTGTCTTCAAGTCTTCATATCTTCATCATTTTATAGCTGGTAATGAGAATCTGCCCGTTGGAAAGAGACGATCTCATTTTTGAATTCTTGTATCTTTTGTCAGAGATCTTATCTTATCTTCTGCAAAGTGTCAGAAGAGATAAGCTAGCCGTTGGTAGAGCTTCAACTTCATGCAAATGAGTACCCAAACTTCATCTGATATTCCTCTGGTTTTCTCACGTCTCTTGGAAATATCTGGGTCTCAGTTTTGTGTAGAATGACTTCTCTGATCAGCTCTAAAGTGGTTCTTGGGATTTA